CACTATCCCGGTAAGTAATCCTTCAAAAGCATGTGGAACTGAAAACACCAAACCAGTGAACCCGACTCTGACTGAATTACACAGCCTCCTCTGCGAGCTGAAACAGTCGGGGCCCACCAAATACTACCTACCATTGGTAGTTCAAGGTGTAGAGATCCAAGAATCCCACACCAAAGATGCTGTACTGTCGTCGGGGACAGATAAACCAGCTATCAAGGACAGAGCCGTGGACGGCCCTAAGAAGTCCTCTGACCCCTCCAGGCTGCTCGCAACTCTGCCAGTACAACCTATGTGTGATGGCAGTCACACGTGCACAGGCTACAGTCAAGCCGGCTGACAACACAGTCTCTGTACAACCCGTGCTGACTGACCCAGACATCATCCAACTTCAGAAGTTGGATCCTGCAATAAACTCGATGATGCTGTATTTGACTGACCCAGAGAAAAACACTCCGCCCGAAGCCAACCTGGATTTCAATCCAGACCTTAAAGCCCTCTTTCAGCTGTGCAATCAGCTAAAACTACTCATGGGCAACCTAACTTTAGCTCATGGAGCGACGTCCTCACCCGTGTTCGTGGTCCCCCATGACCGAAGGGGGGTGACGTTAGTTAAGGTGATGTTACCAGATGTGATAACGTGATCAAATCTGACATTCAGAGTGAGTGACGCACCGAAACGTCGTTTTCTAGTTGCTTAATCACTACTTTTGTCAATGTTGAAACGTTGTTTTTCTGGTTGCTTAGTCACTATTTTTGTTGATGTTGAGACATCGTTTAATTGGATTTTGGTATTGTTTCTGAACACCCCCAGCAAGAATGAATTTTGTGTGTATTTTAGTTAGAGACTAAGAGGACTTTAACTATGCCAACATGCAGTTCATTTATTAAAATGCAATCTTTGCGGAGTCTATGTAGATTAATGCTACCTTAAGTACCATAATCTACATTGGTCTCACGACGCTCAAGCCGAACCTACTCGAACAATCCTATTCGGGGGGGGGGGGAGCTAGCTAATCCTTCAGTTGAGTCTCGCCATAGACTCCAAAACATTTAGGGGAAAACCAAAAAAACAAACCTCAAGTTGTTCGTCTAAAAGGACAACAGACAATTGAACCAAACTATATTTTGCCATGTAAATCTAACTTAAACCCAGTTAGGAACGGAAAAATAGTTTGGAATGCCCTTCTATAGGTTTAAATCCCTATATGAAAAATTTTCAGCATGACCCACCGTTTAAACTGGTAACTTTAGCTGATCTAAACCATGATAGCTTACACACCAGGTGCATATAGGTTAAGGTCTTATGTAAAATCCCACTCATAAGCCCAACTAAAACCACATAAATGCATAACACATAGAACCAGAATGGCACCCACTGGGAACCACCAGCAGCAACCTTCGCTGAAGGGACCTGCAACTCCAACGTGGGTCTCCAATCTTCATCCAGTAGTCGCCTCTGCAGTTCAATCGAGGGAACTCTTCTGCATGCTGATCAATCAACACCTCCAATCGTTGTGGATTATATGACTTTTTCCAATGGATTACAGACTTTGTTTCCAAGGGGTTAAAGCATTGCTACAATGGAATTACCAACAACATTATGGAATTACCAACAACATTATGGAATTACCAACAACATTGTGGAATTACCTAAACCGTTGTGGGATTACCTTCTTTGACTTTTATGTTCCTCTTGCTGGATTACATCAAGCTCAAGGATATTCGGAGGCGTAAGTTCATGTTGGAATTCATCCCCATGGACAGGCGATGATTTCCAAATGGGGGACTGTAGTGAACTAGGCCTCCGATCAAAACTTGCCTCTGAAGACCTTCATGGGACAGGAACTGTTATTTCATTGATTTGAACCCAGAAATACAAATTAGCTCATCCAGAGACTTTCTAATTGTATCCTGAACTAATCAATTGAAAGAACACTCTCTTTTTTATATTATCATTACTATTTTACAATATCTTGATAATCAAAAGTGTGTTTAGTTCATACCATTTTTAAATGTTGAAGTGAACCACTCATTTTAAATCAACTGTGAAACAGTATTAATGATTTTTTTAATCCTCATTCAAATTAGAAATCAAGTTCAATGTCTATTTTACAAAGTAATTATGCATTTTTTGATCTTCTGTCTGAAATGAGAGAGTGATGTCGGTCAAAAGTCGGAGACAGTCAAGAAACCAGTTGTTAGAACAGGCTGTCGTGTTTTTAAAGCTCTCAGACAGTAAACAAGAGACCTGGCACCTGCGGTGTTTCTCACTTCGTCAAAACATTTCTCTGTCTGTTCCTAAACATTTCTGCTGTTTTCTCGACTTGTAAAAACCTTTTGACGTCACTAGAACCACACCCCTCTTTGTTCCTTCAACCAATCAGGACTTACTAAAAGTGACCGGAAGCAGAACTCTTTAAAAGTCGACACTTCCTGGAACTGTAGTCCCGTTAGTTCTTCTGGAGTTCTTCTGGAGTTCTTCTGAGTCTTTTGAGTTCTTCTGAGTCTCTTCTGAGTTTTTCTCAGACTCAGTCTTCTGAGTCGAGTTGGGACTATGGAATCAGAAGCAGATCAGTCTATTCAAGTGTACAATGTTTTGATGTTAAATTTTGATTCTGTTAATAAATGACCACATTTATTTTGATGGGTCAAAGAAAATTAATGTCTCATGTCACTGATTAAAACATCTATGCACAGTACCTCTGTCACATATCTGTCAAGTAGCTCGAAAAAGAGAGAACCCGTTATTTAAATAAAATTGTAGTGTAGCTGAAGCTAACCTAGCCGTTTTAGCACACTACAACTCTCTGCAAAGCTTTTCTTTCTGCAACTGTGCAGCCTCCATGCCACACATTGATGCTGGAGCACAGGATGCTCTCCACTGTACACCTGTAGAAGGAGGTGAGAACTGAGCTTCCCAAACCAGCACGTCTCAGCCAAGGAAGTAGTCTCTGATGAGCTTTCTTGATCAGGCTGGTGGTGTTGTCCCAGCTGAGGTTGTCATTCATGTGCACACCCAAGTACTTGAAGCTGGAGACCACTTCTACTGCAGATCCTCTTATGTTCAGGTGTGTGTATGTGTGTTTGTTCCTTGAAGTCCACAACCATCTCCTTCGTCTTCTTCACTTTGATGTGAAGGTTGTTCTTCCTGCACCAGCTCTCTAGGTGTTCCATCTCCTGCCTGTAGCTGGAATCATCGTTGTTTGTGATGCATCCCACCACCGCTGTATCATCTGCAAACTTTACAATGTGACAGTCTAGATGAGTAGGTGTACAAATTATTGAGCAGTATGTTATTGTAAAGACTACAAGACCAACTTCAAGCAGCATGATGTTTCTCTGGCTACAGCTGCACAGATTGTTCAGAAGTTTGAGGTCCAAGGGACTGTAGCCAACCTCGCTGGATGTGGCCACATGTGGAAAATTACTGACACATTGTTCCTCCTGGAACTGAGGTTCGACCAACGATCTGACTCTCCTCTCCAGTACCCCTGAATAGACCTTACCAGGGAGGCTAAGGAGAGTGATGCTCCTATAATTGGAGCACACCCTTTTTGAAGAGGGGTACCACCACCCCAGTCTGCCAGTCCAATGGCACTGCCCCCGATGTCCACACGACGTTGCAAAGGCGTGTCAGCCAAGACAGCCCCACAATATCTAGAGCCTTAAGGAAATCAGGGTGAATCTCGTACACACCCAGAGCTACGAGCTAAGCTAACAAGCAGACCTCGGGAAAAAAAAACCTCTGTCTTGTCAAAGCTCCAATAATTCACTGTAGAAACCCGTGCATTTGTCTAAAAAGTTGATATTCTCTGCAAAAAGAAGCTGAGAACGTGTTGACTGATTTTTTTTTAATTAAAAGTTTGTGTGACAAATGCTATGCTAAAGAGCTCAAACCACACCGAGCATCCGCCATTTTGAGAACCAAAAAACAGGAAAGAGAGAGAGCCCAGGTCACGTCAAGGGGCCTCCCTCCCATTTTTCTTAGAGACACACTACTCGCTCCCTCACTATCCATCCTTCAGTTCAAACTGTTTTATACTGCCATCCTGTGGTCAAAAAATGTACTACATACAAAATTAACCAACATTTCTTCTTAAATTTGACAATAATTAATAATTATTGTCAAATTCCAAACAATATTATTGCACAATGACAAATTTTGCTGGGTGATTAATTGTCTCAGAAATTATTGCAATATTGTGACAGGCCTATATACAAGTTTAACTTTTTGAATGGAATTACTGAAATAAATCAACTTTTTCATGATATTCTAATTTTATGACCAGCACCTGTATTATCAAGTGGCCTTCTGAGCCCTGATTTAAACACATCAGTGGAAGGAGCTGAAACCTGCAGTCTGGAGAAGGACACTTTCAAATCTGAGGCAGCTGGAGCCGTGTGTGGACGAGGAGTTGACCAATACACCTGTGGACAGGTGCAGAAGTCTGCGTTACTGAAATCACTTGATAGCAGGGATTTTTCTCAAAAGGTTGTGCAACAGTACCATCTTTTTGGCCAAAGCCAGTTTCATTTGTTTTTTTTATAAATATATATATATATATATATATATATATATATATATATATATATATA